AAATGGTACAACCGGTGTTTTTAGACTTTCCGGACTACGACTAACAAAGTTTGCGCGGCCATAAGTGCTCGGACAACCGTTGCCATTCAAGTTCATTGCAGCACCAAGAAACGGCATCAGCGGCGACATCATTGCAGCAGTAGCCATTGCAGCCATATGTGATGGATTTGGCGGAAACTGGAAAATAGGCTGTTGCAGAGCAGTGCTAGCTGTTGGCGTAAGTTTAGCTGCAGCAGCAGCGGCCATCGGTGAGCTTAGTGCGCCAAGCATCGGACTTACAGCCGTTGTAAGGAATGACGTGAACGGACTGGTTGGACACATCAGGCCTGCAGACAGAGAGGCTGCCGCGTAGAGCTGACTGAACTGAGTGACCAGCGGTGAGGTGGCCGTATATGCATTACCGGTATTGTTGTGAAGGAAAAATGGCGAAGGCACAAGAAGGTTGTTGGATGTTGAGGTGGTGCTGGTGGTGGAAGAGGAGGAGGAAGCGGGCACTTCCAGTCCAGCGCCATTCGAGAAAGCTGCTGTTGCTGACAGATTCAACGGACGCGGTTTGACCCGTTTCAACGAAGGTATCTGGGGATTGGCTTGCGCCGCACTTCGATCATCCGGAACTGGCACTGGCGGGTCTGATGGATATGAGAGTGACTTGGACAGTGGCATGTTGGACGCTGCTGCCGACACTGCGCATGAAGTTGGAGAAGCGAGCGCTGCTTCCGTCACCGTGCCATTACAGCTGCTGCTCACCATCGGCGTCTTTCGCTTCCTGGATGACACATTCGCGTCACCATTTGTGCCCTGATAGCTGCTGCTCGGCGAGCTGCACAACCTCACAGCATAGGAGGTGGAGCACGGGCCGCCGCCACTCGTGGAAGGTAAGCTGGCGAAGTCGCTTCGTGACGAACTGCTGCTGGTCACCAGTGATGCGCCGCTGGCCAGCACCGGTTTAGCGACTGCTGCGTCGCCGGTCACCGATGGTAATAACGCCATTGGTGCGTCCAGTCTTCCGCTGCTTTCCGCAGTTTTGACGCTAAAACAGGAGCAGTTATGGTAAGAAGCTTGAGCAGTTATAATAGTTTTAAATCGGCAGCAGCTGAACACTGGGAATGTTGCATGTTCTCAAAACGGTATGTAAGCAGAGATACAGCAGCAAAAAAAAAATGGGAAGTGAAAGCAATAACAAAAAGAAATTTACTCTGCGAGTGCGCCAAAATGACACGCATCACGTAATTTCAAAACTCAGTTTTACAGCTGACTACTCAGTTTCGCAGGTGTAGCGAATGCACCAGAACATGCAACAAGCCTAAAGAAATGATTTCACTCAAAGCATGCGAAGCTTGCTGGCGCACTTGTAATTCTGAGGGGCAACTCCTCTGAACTTCGAGTCACCGGTTCAAATCCGCTAAACTATAGCCTCTACGATACGGTGTGTTTCTCTTCCACAGCAAATCGGTGTTGCAATGCTTGGCAAACCCAACAGTCGCACTGTTTTCAACATGCTTCTCATGCAGTTCTTGAAGAAGGACAACTTCGATCTGTGTCAAAACGTGGTCGTGCTTCGCAAATGCATTTATCTGATCCATTTGTGATGAACGAGTTATGAAGAAATTTTTACTTTGAAACAAACGCAACGGCGAGAAAATTGCCAACATCTCTGGCTTTTACCTGTCCAGCACTAGGTTCCCAGCGAACAACTAGGGGACGCTTAGAGCTTGGCAAGTCTGTATCTTCCTTGCATACATAATTAAAAAAAAACATGATAAAGGGAAGGCGATTCTTTGAAATTTGAATTACCCTGCTTTTGTAGTTCTGAAGTGACATTCCCCGGAAGTACAAAGTTTACTGGTGCTCGCTAAGCAGCATTTTTTACTCGCATATGCGTGAAATAACTCGGGGAAAAAAACGATATGCAATCATTCGTACATCCTCCACCCTCTCCATAGCAACTTCTAAGAAACAACATGATACTGAGAGGAATTTCTGTCCGCTATCGAATGCTTAACGCATACCTTACGGAAGGCGATGGAGTAACGCTTGATATGGAAACAGACTGCGCATCTGTAGCACTCGGTACTACTGAACAAGCGGCGCCAACTGCCGGCGAACTGCTGCTGCGCATTATGCCAAGACTATCACCTGGAATTCGTAGAACTGGTTAGTCTTTTTTTCTTTCCTTTAAATCGAAACTATTAAGATTCCTTTTGGCGTCCGCCCATTTTACTCGTTTGTGGAATTCAGAAATGAGAAAACAAACAACAAACTCGAAACATTCGCTTCTGCCGGATGATTATCAATATCTCGAGAAATAGCATACTGCAGTGTGTCCACCGTGCATCCTTCCGGAAATGTTACAAACCGGTATACAAACTTTTGTCCAATTACCTGCAAAATTCCCAACTTAAATGTGCTTTAGGTGTGCCGTTACGTAAACAGAGGTAAAAGTCATGCGTCAAAAACTTTTCCTGATAAACTGTGTATGGACTTGTGAATGTGGCTGCTTCCAGAAACGTATATTCAGGCACTTCTCCCCCTCCCCTCTCCGCCGAAAAAAAAAAAACAACCTAGCTGATGGCCCGCTTTCTGGATATACGGTACTGGCAAACCTGGGCATGCAGAAAGACCATATGACAAGCTTCAGCTAAACTCGAAAGAGAATCCGGTCGCTTAGCAGTGATTAATGCAAACCTTTTTGATGATATTCTTGTCATAGTAGTACCGCAACGCCCGAGACAATTTATCATAATTCATATGTGGCTTGCTTTTTCGTTGTCCCCATAATTTGGCGACTGCTTCTGCGTCCAGTAACTGTAACTCGATTTGACGGAGACAAAAAGAGAGGAAGAGCTAATCGATCATTTTGGATGGATCAGTGCATCGCAACAACCGCACAACTGTTTACGGCACTTCGGACGAACGTCCTTGCGCTACTGTGCGCCGTGCTAACCACTAGCAGCACCGCAGCTACTGTAAGAACTGCAGCTTGCAATAATCCACTTGAATATGCAAATTGCGGCGAATCCTTTTTACCTCATCTTATTCCTTCTCTCTTTATCGCGAACGCAACACAGCCGCTACTTATATGCCAAGTATGCAAACACACACAGGGAGAGAGAGGCGCAAAACGGAATAAAGGAGAATGATTAACCTTGAATTCGCCCTGCTGGTTGGTCCACTGGATTAGGTGACTGTGGTCACCCTTGATGAGAAGCTCCAGAAGAAACTGCCACAATGTGATGTTGGAATCGGTGGCAGTGGCCGGGATTGCCTGGACACTGGTCTTGATATCTCGGGGACTTGACCGTTCACTGCCACAGCTGCTGCCGTCCTGACCCGTCGTCGCCAGCTGTTGTTCGGTAACTGGGAATGAAATAACTGCCGGCTTTCCATCAATCACCAAATTTCGATCCAAATGCAAAGCAGTTGTTGTTGCTGGACTTCTGACTGACCTACGATTGCCCGGCCGGCTTGCAAATCCGAGGGTGTCAGGGCCAGCTTGGCTGAAAGACGGTAGCGTGCTTGACTGAAGCAGGATTGATGCTGCACTGCGAGCGACTTCTCACCGCTCCTCGTTTCTGATGCACATTTAATTACGCCGGGAACCGCTGCTTGCCGTTCGTTAATAATAGCACACACCGAAAACAGCTCTTCGTTCTGAAATGTGTGAGATTTCTGAGAACAGAAAAGCAATTGCTGATTCCGACGCAAAACTGTTCGCAGCAATGGCTGCGACGACATACAGAAGCAGCAGCAGGCGCATCTGGATGCACCTTCGCTTGGTTAGCTCTACATTCATCATTCCCTCCAAATTCATCTCACGATAAAACTGGAAGGAGTGACGATGACTGAGAGTCGGGCTGGCGCTGCTTTGCCCGGAATGAGGCTACAAATCAGCGATATCCATCCAGTGGTTCGCATGGTCTTGCCGGACGCTTATTCGAATAAGTTTAATTCCAAATCACTTCATTTAAGTTACAAAGACACACATAAAAGTGCAAAACCACCTGCTCTCTAAAAAATAGTAGTGCGACAGCATGGTACGCAAAACGGAAAATTAGCGAGCGGAGGATGAACGAGGAAGCAGACATTTGACTGAGCACTTACTGAATTCGGAATGAAAAGATTTCCAAAAAAAACCATAAAATTCAAGCTTTTCAAATCGCAGCGCGAAACCAGTCTCACAGAACTGCAAAACTAAAACTTCCTATTAATCCTGAAGATTTCAACCTGCGCAATGTCTTCAGAACAGATACCAGTCATATTTATGAGTATAACTGTGCATCGGGGAAATGATATGGACGACTTTGCAGTGTTGCGCCTCCTTCCTACCAGTCGTGGAGTAATTTTTAAACTTCAAACAACCTTAAAAGATGCATGCTCCAACACTGAATTCCTGCACTTTACTGTGCTTAGATTTCAAACCCGTGCTTTATTGTGGTGCTTCATTCTTACATTTCAAGCTTTTTGAACGATAACACCTGCTGAAACCTCAAAGCTGCAGGGTTCAAAAATCAGAGAAGGCTTTTCGAGACATAGTCATAATGATCACAGATAGAATTAGGAGAGATGATTTAATGTGAAAGGAACTCGCACATGGTCAAGCATGAACGAGCCATCACGCAAGAATGCAGGAATCGCCATGCACAAACGCTTAGCTATCGAAAAATGGCGCATCGCTGAGCACTGGGAGAGCGTTAGTGTAAATGGTACAGAATCTAGACCGACTGGAGCCGCTGCGATCGCTTCACTGTCTGGGCACCAATTCTCCCAACACGAAACAAATATGTGCTTCGCGCAGTTTAAACTAATGCATGGAGAAGGGCAACGCCTATTCGTAGAAAAAATGAAAATGCAGCGCATAAAAAGTAAGCGAGTAGACTATGTGGAACGAATGCTTCGCCGTAACTTGTGCATTCCATTTACGCCTTCTCCGGGAAAACTGATCGAATGACTTGGACCAGCGGTCAGCATCCATACACCTCAAGAGCAAATTATTATGCACTGCAGCGTCCAAACAGTGGAAGATAAGTGAGCTTCTCGGAACTGCGCTCCGTGAAGTGAACAAAACTTGCAAAATTCTAGATCTGCAACCGAGCAGGTATGGATGGAAGTACCACAACGGTGAATTCATGAGAAGACGGTTGAGGCTGGGAAGCATTCATAACAACAGAATTACTCACTTCTCCGCTCCGGCCTGATATGTCCAGACAAGTAACCGGCTTAATGTGCACACAAATAACTTGAACGAACAGAATTTCATAACTGGAGAAATACTTCTAAGTCGACTTTCACCAAAATTTCTTGATCTAATTAAAACCACACTTCTGACGCATGAGTTGGCTCACTTAGTCACGGCTGACTTAAGCTCGGCACATCTGGTGGGGCCAAGAAGCGCAGTACTGGACTGGGAAGAGCGTGACGAAAAGCTAACACAATTCTAAAACACTAACGATGCAGAAGAAATGCAGAGTCAGATGCAATATGCCCGTTTCTTAGGATGTCGAAGGGAATGGTGTGCGAGTTCGGGACGAAAATAAGAAAGAGGAAGAAGCTAGCCGTGACGGAAACAACGATGAAACATAAAAGTTTTCGAATTCCGTCTCGTGATCATATCAGCAATCAGAGAGGCATTCCATCGGATGAGCGATGCGCAGGATTTCGTCTTAACAACAGCAAAAAAACGGAATCCATCGAGGGCTGCTCGACTGCACAACAGACGGCATGAGTAATACGCGAAAAATGAAGCAAAACCCTCGCACAGATAGCGAATACGTTCCGCAAGGAGGACACAGGTCTGCCCCTGACAGACGTGGCATGACTTCCGTCAAAATGTGATTGTCTGGCCAAAAAATTAGCAACTCCAGGTCGATGGCTCGCTCAATCCGGATGATGGAGGCGTGTACAGCTCGAAACTATTCTAAAACCAATGTGATGGTCTGGAAGAACTCTCCCTACAAGGAACAGTGCTTCCTGTTTCACAAGCATAACTTCAGCCCAGAAACCTTTATCCAGTGCGTACCAGGACGAACAAAAAACTTCGCGACATGTGGTGAATGAAGAGCGCGTTACTAATTATCAAAAGCATGCAGAAATAATCCTGTGAGCTAAAATGGTGAGATCAAAGTGCAGAACGCTTTCCCAAACTCTACTCAGTAGTGTCTTCCTCAAAAACCGTTCCAGACCAGACGCATAATCCAAAACATATTTTTGACACCCTGTTTACTATCCAAATTAGGAACAAGGATAAGATAGTTAAGATTTGAAAACAAACGCCGGCGCAATTTTTCTCGCTGCTTCCAGCCAAGCAACTTTTGAACTGCCTGAGTTAGTATGTGCACAGAAGACCCCAAACTATTACATATAGCAAATATGAGCGTCAAGAATGATTTGAAGAAGCAGGAAACGATGGAAGACGGGAAAGGGCGAGGTGAAGGTTTAGCACCGAAGACGAGCAGCATGGCTGTGCTGTGCCACGAACACGGCACAATTACCACAAAACGTTACAAGGAAGAGGAGGCAAAAAAAGACATTTTCACAAGCACCAAATCACTTTTTGACTAACTGTGAAACAGTGAGAAAAAAACAACGCAAAACAGACATGGATTGTGCACGGGCGTAGCCGCCTCCTGGATGGTTGTGCTAAACTGACACAGCGCACCCGCTGCATGGTTCCACAGGTCCACAGCAGTTCTGGATGCGGCTACAACTACAGCGGTCGGCAGGTAGCGTCCCATCCAAAATCGTATCACTCAAGCAGGCCGCGCACCAAAAAAAACTTATGAAACAAAAATTATTTCTTATATGTTCCTGCATTACAACGTTTTAAGCAGCATTTCTCCTGTAAATCCGTTCATCCGTAAGGCTCAACTCGGCAACTGAGGAAGCTAAAAATTATGGAGAAATAGCCCTCGATCGTGCTAATATTCCAGCAAACAGATCGGAATTCCAATCAAAATTTTTAGCCTCACTGCATTTTGAACTGCTGACCGCTGGTCCAAAAATGGCCAAATTTTGAAAAAACCAGAGCGACGCGAGCTTAAAATTCATAATTTTTGGGCTTTTATTTGACAACGAAAAAAGACGAATGGCCCAAAATTAGATTTTAAACTGAACGTCGATTTTCAGAGTCATGACAGCGAGAACAAACGTTGCAAGAACAAAACGAAAAAGGTAACGGATCTGAAATTTGGTGCTTTGCATTAATAGCAAGTTACGACGAAGTTCTGTACACAGCGAAGTGTTCAGCCACTGTGATATCGTAGCACCTTATCGCAAAAACGCATAACAGCACAAGGTGCTGTTATTTCTGATCTGTTTTTTCCACCTCTTATTGCTGACAAACACCCGCATTTTGGACCGCAACGCAAAAACACCACAAAAATTGGAACTTAACTACTATGTTCAGTAGTTATGTCCGGGTACCCATTGGTCATCTGTCTGGACAAATCCAATCCCAGGAAAAGAATTCTCCCTGTCCACTCTTA